TCCCACACTAGGGTACTCCCACACTAGGGTACTCCCACACTAGGGTACACCCACAATAAGGTACAGCCACACTATGATACTCCCACACTAGGGTACTCCCACACTAGGGTACACCCACACTAGAGTACTCCTACACTAAGGTACATCCACACTAGGGTACATCCACACTAGGGTTCACCTACATTAGGGTACATCCAAACTAGGGTACACCGTCACTAGGGTACTCCCACACTAGGGTACACCCACACTAGGTGCACATCCACACTACCGTATATCCCCACTAGGGTACACCCACACAAGGGTACATCCATACTAGGGTAGTTCTACACTATGGTACCCCCACACTAGGGGTACACCGGCATTAGGGTTCACCCACACTAGGGTACTCCCACACTGGTGTATACGCACACTAGGGTACACCCACACTAGGGTACTCCCCCACTAGGGTACACCCACACAAGGGTACTCCCACACTAGGGTACACCCATATTAGGCTACTCCCACATTAGGGTACACCCACACTAGGGTACACCCACACTAGGGTACATCCACACAAGGGTACACCCACACTAGGGTACACCAACACTAGGGTGTATCCGCACTAGGGTAAACCCACACTAAGGTACACCGACACTAGGGTACACCCACACTAGGGGTACATCCACACTAAGGTACATCAACACTAGAGTACACCTACACTATAAAACACCCACACTAGGGTACATTCACACTAGGGTACATCCAACCTAGGGTACACCCACACTAGGGTACATGCACACTAGCGTACACCTCACTAGGATACTCCCACACTAGGGTACACCCACACAAGGGTACATCCACACTAGGGTACACCAACACTAGGGTATACCCACAATAGGGTACACCCACACTAGGGTACACCAACACTAGGGTGCATTCGCACTAGGGTAAATCCACACTAAGGTACACACACACTAGGGCATTCCCACAATAGGGTACATCCACACTAGGATACATCCATACTAGCGTATACCCACACTAAGGTACACTCACACTAGGGTACATCCACACTAGGGTACTCCCACACTAGGGTACTCCCACACTAGGGTACACCCACACTAGGGTACATCAACACTAGGGTACGTTAACACTAGGGTACACCAACATTAGGGTACATCCACACTAGGGTACACCAACACTAGGTTACACCCACACTAGGGTACATCCACACTACGGTACACCCACACTAGGGAACATTCACACTAGCTTATACCCACAATAGGGTACACCCACACTAAGGTACACCCACACTAGGGTACATCCACACTAGCGTATACCCATTCACATATAGGGTATATATAGCGTATACCCATTCATGTGTTATATATAGCGTGTACCCATTCATGTGGGTGTACCCGTACTAGGGTACACCCACACTGGGTTACATCCACACTAGCGTATACCCACACTAGGGTACACCCACACTAGGATACATCCACACTAGCGTATACCCACACCAGGGTACACCCACACTAGGGTACACCCACACTAGAGTACACCAACACTAGGGTACATCCACACTAGCGTATACCCACACTAGGGTACACCCCCACTTGGGTACACCCACACTGGGGTACTCCCACACTGCGAAGCAGAAGAACTGTGCCTCCCGCTCTCCATGGTGTATAACAAATCACTGGCAACAGGGGAACTGCCAGAAATTTGGAAAGCAGCTAACGTAGTCCCGATATGCAAGAAAGGGGATAGACAGGAAGCACTGAATTGCAGGCCAGTGTCTCTAACCTACATACCATGCAAGCTGATGTGCGAAAGATTGTGCGAAGAAAGCTAGTGGAGCACCTGGAGCGAAAGAACTTTGTAACACAGCATCAACATGGATTCAGGGATGGCAGGTCTTGCCTCACAGGGTTACTTGAATTCTACGACCAGGCAACAAAAATAAGGCAAGAAAGAGAAGGGTGGGCAGACTGCATATTTTTGGATTGTCAGAAAGCCTTCGACACAATGCCACACAAGAGGCTAGTGAAAAAGCTGGAGATGCAGGCTGGAGTGCAAGGGAAGGTACTCCGTTGGATACAGGAGTACCTAAGCAACAGGAGACAACGAGTCAGTGTGAGGGGTGAGGTCTCAGATTGGCGAGACGTTACGAGTGGAGTACCGCAGGGGTCAGTCCTTGGACCTATACTGTTTCTGTTATATGTAAATGATCTCCCAGAGGGTATAGAATCGTTTCTCTCAATGTTTGCCGATGATGCAAAAATTATGAGGAGGACTGAAACTGAGGACGATAGTAGGAGGCTACAACATGACCTAGACAGACTGAGTGAATGGTCCAACAAATGGCTGTTGAAGTTCAACCCGAGTAAATGCAAAGTAATGAAACTAGGCAGTGGAAACAGGAGGCCAGACACAGGATACAGAATAGGAGATGAAGTACTTAATGAAACGGACAGAGAGAAAGATCTAGGAGTGGATATCGCACCAAACCTGTCTCCTGAAGCCCACATAAAAAGAATAACGTCTGCGGCATATGCGAGGCTGGCTAACATCAGAACAGCGTTCAGGAACCTGTGTAAGGAATCATTCAGAATCTTGTACACCACATATGTAAGACCAATCCTGGAGTATGCGGCCCCAGCATGGATCCCGTACCTTGTCAAGCACAAGACGAAGCTGGAAAAAGTCCAAAGGTATGCCACTAGACTAGTCCCAGAACTAAGAGGCATGAGTTATGAGGAAAGGCTGCGGGAAATGCACCTTACGACACTGGAAGACAGAAGAGTAAGGGGAGACATGATCACAACCTACAAAATCCTTAGAGGAATCGACCGGGTAAACAAGGATAAACTATTCAACACTGGTGGGACGCGAACAAGGGGACACAGGTGGAAACTGAGTACCCACATGAGCCACAGAGACGTTAAAAGGAACTTTTTCAGTGTCAGAGTAGTTAACGGATGGAATGCATTAGGCAGTGATGTGGTGGAGGCTGACTCCATACACAGTTTTAAATGTAGATATGATAGAGCCCAGTAGGCTCAGGAATCTGTACACCAGTTGATTAACAGTTGATAGGCGGGAACAAAGAGCCAAAGCTCAACCCCAGCAAGCACAAATAGGTGAGTACAAATAGGTGAGTACACTAGGGTACACCCACACTAGGGTACACCCACACTAGGGTACACCCACACTAGGGTACATCCCCACTAGAGTACATCCACACTAGCGTATACCCACACTAGATTACACCCACAATAGGGTACACCCTCACTAGGGTACACCCACACTAGGTTACACCCACAATAGGGTACACCCTCACTAGGGTACACCCACACTAGGGTTCGCCCACACTAGGGTACTCCCACACTAGGGTTCACCCATACTAGGGTACAACCACACTAGGATACACCCACACTAGCGTATACCCACACTAGATTACACCCACAATAGGGTACACCCTCACTAGGGTACACCCACACTAGGTTACACCCACACTAGGTTACACCCACACTAGGGTACACCCACACTAGGGTTCGCCCACACTTGGGTACTCCCACACTAGGGTTCACCCATACTAGGGTACAACCACACTAGGATACACCCACACTGGCGTATACCCACACTAGGGTACTCCCACACTAGGGTACACCCACACTAGGGTACACCCACACTAGAGTACTCCCACACTAGCGTACTCCCACACTAGGGTACACCCACACTAGGGTACTCCCACACTAGGGTGCTTCCACACTAGGGTACACCCACACTAGGGTACTCCCACACTAGGGTACACCCACACTAGGGTACACCCACACTAGAGTACTCCCACACTAGCGTATACCCACACTAGGGTTCACACACACTAGGGTACTCCCACACTAGGGTACACCCACACTAGAGTACTCCAACACTAGGGTACACCCACACTAGCGTACATCCACACTAGGGTACACCCACACTAGGGTACACCCACACTAGGGTACACCCACACTAGAGTACTCCCACACTAGCGTATACCCACACTAGGGTACACCCATACTAGGGTACACCTACACTAGAGTACTCCCACACTAGGGTACACCCACACTAGGGTACACCCACACTAGGGTACACCCACACTAGAGTACTCCCACACTAGCGGATACCCACACTAGGGTACACCCACACTAGGGTACACCCACACTAGGGTAAATCCACACTAGCATATACCCACACTAGCGTATACCCACACTATGGTACACCCATACTAGGGTACACCCACACTAGAGTACTCCCACACTAGGATACACCCTCACTAGGGTACACCCACACTAGGATACACCCACACTGGCGTACACCCACACTAGGGTACACCCACACCAGAGTACTCCCACACTAGCGTATACCCACTCTAGGGTACACCCACACAAGGATACACCCACACTAGGGAACACCCACACTAGGGTACACCTACACTAGAGTACTCCCACACTAGGGTACACCCACACTAGTGTACACCCACACTAGGGTACACCCACACTAGGGTACACCCTCACTAGTGTACACCCTCACTAGGGTACACCACACTAGGGTACACCCACACTAGGGTACACCCACACTAGGGTACACCCACACTAGGGTACACCCCCACTAGGGTACACCAACACCTTTTACACACTGGCCTACGGCTCGGAGGGCCTGTCTACCCTCCCTATACAGACAAACACTTAACCTGTCCTCGCGAAGAATACATCGCATTTTCACGAATGAAAAAAAACGAACTAAAATTGCCAGTTGCTCACAAAATTTAAGTGATCCCCCGTTTTCTATTCGTAGGCCATCGACTAAGTTACTTTCATGCAATTGATTACATCATGTGAAGGCTCCAGAGGACGGGCTGTTCAACTACACACCTCTCGTCCAGTCCTGTCCGGTCACATAACACCTTTGATTCTCATTGTGTCACGTTAATATATCCACCACTGCTCGTGGGAGACTCATCTGGCTGCCTCCACCCTCAGAACGAGAAGGTGATAGAGTGCTACGTGTCGGTGCACAGCTTCGGCGCCTGGTACACCTGGAACGACACCACTAACAACTTCCAGTTCCTGGACGGTGAGTCGCCATCATGCCCGCTCCCTCGCACTCTTACGCTTGCACCCCCCTGCCCTACTGTGTTGTGAAGCTTCCTCCCCCGCACTGTAACGCTTGCACCCCCTCTCCTCTACTGTGTTGTGAAGCTTCCTCCCCCTCACTGTTACTCTTGCACCCCCCTGCCCTCCCCTACTGTGTTGTGAAGCTTCCTCCCCCGCACTGTAACGCTTGCACCCCCTCTCCTCTACTGTGTTGTGAAGCTTCCTCCCCCTCACTGTTACTCTTGCACCCCCCTGCCCTCCCCTACTGTGTTGTGAAGCTTCCTCCCCCTCACTGTTACGCTTGCACCCCCTCCCCTACTGTGTTGTGAAGCTTCCTCCCCCCTCACTGTTACGCTTGCACCCCCCCTCCCCTACTGTGTTGTGAAGCTTCCTCCCCCTCACTGTTACGCTTGCACCCCCCTCCCCTACTGTGTTGTGAAGCTTCCTCCCCCTCACTGTTACGCTTGCACCCCCTCTCCCCTACTGTGTTGTGAAGCTTCCTCCCCCCTCACTGTTACGCTTGCCACCCCCTCCCCTACTGTGTTGTGAAGCTTCCTCCCCCCACTGTGCTACGCTTGCACCCCCCCCCTCCCCTACTGTGTTGTGAAGCTTCCTCCCCCTCACTGTTACGCTTGCACCCCCTCCCCTACTGTGTTGTGAAGCTTCCTCCCCCTCACTGTTACGCTTGCACCCCCCTCCCCTACTGTGTTGTGAAGCTTCCTCCCCCTCACTGTTACGCTTGCACCCCCTCCCCTACTGTGTTGTGAAGCTTCCTCCCCCTCACTGTTACGCTTGCACCCCCCTCCCCTACTGTGTTGTGAAGCTTCCTCCCCCTCACTGTTACGCTTGCACCCCCCTCCCCTACTGTGTTGTGAAGCTTTCTCCTCCCACTGTGCTACGCTTGCACCCCCCTCCCCTACTGTGTTGTGAAGCTTTCTCCTCCCACTGTGCTACGCTTGCACCCCCCTCCCCTACTGTGTTGTGAAGTTTCCTCCCCCTCACTGTTACGCTTGCACCCCCCCCCCTCCCCTACTGTGTTGTGAAGCTTCCTCCCCCTCACTGTTACGCTTGCACCCCCTCCCCTACTGTGTTGTGAAGCTTCCTCCCCCTCACTGTTACGCTTGCACCCCCCTCCCCTACTGTGTTGTGAAGCTTCCTCCCCCTCACTGTTACGCTTGCACCCCCCTCCCCTACTGTGTTGTGAAGCTTTCTCCTCCCACTGTGCTACGCTTGCACCCCCCTCCCCTACTGTGTTGTGAAGCTTTCTCCTCCCACTGTGCTACGCTTGCACCCCCCTCCCCTACTGTGTTGTGAAGTTTCCTCCCCCTCACTGTTACGCTTGCACCCCCCCCCCCTCCCCTACTGTGTTGTGAAGCTTGTTTCCTCTCCCCGCTCTCACTGTTGTTGCAATAGGGGTAAATTTTGTATTTTTCATTGTTTATTTTAAGACTCTGTACATAGGCAAAGGAGGGAAATAAGTTTTATCATCAGACTTGACAGGTCTCGAGTCACCTGTTGCTATAACAATTATTTTAACAATACACTGTGCGAGATGGTATCCCTCAGCATTCACAGTGGAGATGTGCCCCAGGTTGTTACTTTCACCGCACACACCCAGCACTCAGCAGGGTGCTGGGAAACACTTGCTATAATACTTGACATAAATTTCCCAAATACACAAGTGTGGGGTTTTATCCTTATGTTATTATGTCTGCGAGAAGACATTACCATTATTTAGTAAAATATAACCTTCCTATGCCCTACTGCCGGTGGGAGCCGGTCGGCCGAGCAGACAGCACGCTGGACTTGTGATCCTGTGGTCCCGGGTTCGATCCCGGGCGCCGGAGAGAAACAATGGACAGAGTTTCTTTCACCCTACGCCCCTGTTACCTAGCAGTGAAATAGGTACCTGGGTGTTAGTCAGCTGTCACGGGCTGCTTCCTCGTGGTGGAGGCCTGGTCGAGGACCGGGCCGCGGGGACACTAAAGCCCCGAAATCATCTCTAGATAACCTCAAGAAGATACTGTTTCAGGGAATGAATTTATACAAACAATTTAATACTGTGTGTATGTTCCGAGTTCTGCAGGCCACCATCTCTCTAGGAGTCTCGACGGGGGACGTTTCGAACCTACATGGTTCATCCTCAAGTGAAGGAACAGTGCTGTGCGTATTGGATTGTATTTATACCAATAAGAAGGTCAGATATATAATACAAATACTACCTCATTAAAAACATCCCGAAGGCGACGGAGAACCGTTTACAGCAGTCAAACGTGGTATATATGTACACCTGCCCCCACGAAGGATGTAGCCTTTAATCTAAGTACATAGGTATGACGTCAACCAAGCTGACGAGGCGTTTGACTTGTCATCTTCAATCAAGTACCCCTAAAAACACATGAGACAAGCCCATGGCATCACCCTAACAAGAGAAATGTTGAATAAAAACAATTGTATAATAGACAAAACCCAAGATGTAAGAAGATTACAAATTCTTGAAGCAATCCACATAAAAATAGAACAACCTGCCATAAATACTCAAATTACGGAACTATTCACTCTACCCACCATGAGAGTAAGAATAAGACCGGAACTTGAAAATGCCAACATAGAAGATACTGCTCAATATGCCACGCCACGCCCACTACACTTGATTAATCTTTGTATGTGCTTCCTCCCCGCCCCTTTTTTTCATTCATCCCTATTTACGTCCCCTATTCGTTCCCATTTATGCCCTATTCTTCCTCATCTATTTGTATTATATTCCTGACCTCTTTAATGGTATAAATCCAATACACGCAGCATTGTCCCATAGTACGGGCTCACGATAGCCCGTATTACATGAACATTTCGTGTTGAGTATCTAAATCTGAAACAACTACAATAACAGCTATAGCACTGTCCCTTCACTTGAGAAAGAGCCATGTAGGTTCGAAACGTTGTGTAAATTTATAATAAGTGTCATACATTCTACAGTTAATTATTTATTTTTCTTCACCTCCAACAACGATGACATTTGGAGAAATCCTCTTCCACTTACACCAAGATGCAAGAGCACTTGTCAGAGGGAGAGAAGCCCTAAATAAGAAAATAATCAATGCAGAAAATTCAGTCATATCCAATGAAACATGAATAAATTAAAACCTGCTGCCTGTGTTTTCACTGAAAACTCCACACCCCAGAAGTGACTCGCACCCAGACCGCCAGGAGCACAATGCAACTTGGGTACATGGTACTTTAACCACTTGACCATCAGTGACGGTTCAAAAGACGATGGTAGCCGAGGCTAATTCCTCATCGTCCCGACGGCACTTTGATGGCAATCGTGGGCATAGTTATTTCAGCAAATCACCTCATTTTGTGGGGCCACGTGAGCAACACAAATGATATCAAGATTACCATCAAAGTGGCCCTACTAAAATTAAGTGATTTCATGAAATAGCTATGCCCAAGATCACCATCAAAGTGCCGCCGGGGGGGGGGATGGTCAAATAGCTTCGGCTATCACCTCTTTATGTGCGGTTACTGATGGTCGAGTGGAATAAGGCACCGTGACACCAGTTGCCATGTGCTCCTGAAGGTCCAGGTTCGAGTCACTTCTGGGGTGTGGAGTTTTCATTTGTATATATTCTTGGGGACCATTCAAGCTTGTTCATATATATATGTATATATATTTATATATTAATATTTATATTATTTATATTATTTATATTCATTAAACTTGACGTATAATGGTGGGCGGCGGCAGGAGAGGAGAGCCGCGTGAACTTGATCAACGTGACCTACCCAGAGACAGTGGAGGTGGTGGAGGGCTTCCACGCAGAGCTCTTCAGTGCCAACGGTTCACATGGACTATGGTCCCAACAAGGTTAGCAACATTTATACTACTGATATAACATTTAGTCCTTAGTTAACACACAATGCGGAGAGGGGGTCCAACATCCATAAAGGTTTATGGAAAATTGGGGGAGTTTAAGGATTAGTTCCATTAAAAAAAAATAAAAAAAAAAATAAAGAGAAACCAGAAATGATTTCTATTAACACAAGTTAGTATCTTTAATCATTTTGTTAGTATCTTTAAACACACCGATAAAGGTATCAACAGCAGAAGCGAGGCATCCAAAATCAGAGCAACAGTCAGCAAGAAAATAGAAGGAGGCAACACAATAGAGACAATCAGAGTCATCACCAGTGAAGACACAGTTGCCACCAGGGATGCCGATACAGCACAAGCCCTGAGAGAAAAACACCCACCCAGAGCTCCTCGTGACGGCAGTGTTCCCCTAGTCAGTGTCAACAGAGCAGAACCCTTGTATGTGCTCGAATCCGTGGTGCATGAAGCAGCTTTATCCTTCCGGGGAGCCGGTCGGCCGAGCGGACAGTACGCTGGACTTGTGATCCTGTGGTCCTGGGTTCGATCCCAGGCGCCGGCAAGAAACAATGGGCAGAGTTGCTTTCACCCTATGCACCTGTTACCTAGTACCAGTAAATAGGTACCTGGGTGTTAATCAGCTGTCACGGGCTGCTTCCTGGGGGTGGAGGCCTGGTCGAGGACCGGGCCACGGGGACACTAAAAAAAAAAAGCCCCGAAATCATCTCAAGATAACCTCAAGAAGATTCCCACCAGGATCAGTAGGCGGGTTCACAGGACTAAGACCCAACCACATCAAACAAATGCTCAACTCTGCTCTGGGGGACATTGCACAGGGCCTTCTGGTGGAACTAACTAGATTCTCCAACACATGTCTAGCTGGCAACATACCAGAGACCATACGGCCTCTCTGTTTTTGGCGCTACCCTAAGAGCTCTGAGGAAAAAAGATGGAGGAATCAGACCGATAGCTGTGGGCAATTCACTCTGGCGCCTCGTCGCTAAGGCTGCTGCTAAAACAGTTAGTCAGGCAGCAGCCGACATGCTGAAGCCAAAATAGCTTGAGTTTGGCATTCCCCAAGGGTGTGAGGCAGCGGCTCATGCAGCTAGAGCCTACATTGCCAACATTACGGATGAAAAAGCCCTGATAAAGCTGGACTTCAAAAATGCTTTCAATCTGGTTAGAAGGGATGCAGTACTCAGTGCGGTTCATCGCCTTTTTCCTTCCCTCTACCCGTTTGTAAACTCATGCTACAGCAAGAATCTAACTCTGCTATTCGGGGAACTTGAAATTGAATCTCAAGAAAGTATCCAACAGGGTGACCCCATTGCTCCTTTTCTTTTCTACCTAGTCATCAAGGAAGTCACCGATAACCTGTCCAGTGAGTTCAATATATGGTTTTTGCACGATGGTACTCTAGCCGGCTCCCCAGCCTCACTCTTGGACGACATAAGAATAATTTAGGAGCATGGAGGAAGTCTAGGCCTCACCCTGAACTCTTCCAAGTGCGAAATAACCTCCACCAACCAGCACATAATAGAACAAATAAAGGTTGTTTTGCCTGATATTCATACAACGAACCCTGACGACTGCACACTCCTAGGTGCTCCTCTTGGAGGGAATGCCATCGACGAGGTCCTTGGTAAGAAGATCACTGACCTGAAGAGGATAAATGAGAGGAATGAAGACATCGATGCTCATGATGAACTTTACCTAATCATCAGATGCTTGTCCCTCCCCAGGCTGACCTACTTTCTAAGATGTTCGCCATCTTTCAACAATATTAAATTAGAAGAGTACGACAGCTTGCTGAAATCAATGCTAGAAAAAGCCCTCAACCTTTCTCTCAGCGACTCACAGTGGAAACAGGCCTCCCTTCCTGTTAGACTCGGAGGCCTTGGCGTGCGCACAGCAACACAAATTGCTGTACCAGCGTTCCTGTCCTCTTCAGTGGCGTCTGACAACTTGGTGAAGGAAATCCTACCCGAGCACCTAGTTCAACAGGCAGGGGTACATGATCCCAGCTTCACTTACTGCACAACCAAATGGGTTTCTCTCACAGGACCAGCACCCCAACCACTGCCTTCTGAAGCCCATAAGCAATCCAGCTGGGATCGCCCCATTACCGACCAAGAAGCTGCGACTTTTCTAGAAGCTGCGACAACACCACATGACACTAACTGACTTAGAGCCGTAGCAGCTCCCCATGCAGGTGACTTCTTATTAGCGACCCCAATGTCAGCAACTGGCACCCGTCTCACACCGCAGGCCCAACGAATTCCCATGGCTCTTCACCTCGCTGCCCCAATCCACACCGAATACAAGGGTATTTGCGGCGAGGCAGAGGCCGACAGGTGCGGATGGCATGGCCTTCTCTGCCAAAGGACAGGAGGATGGCATGCAAGACACGGCGAGGTTAATGACATTATTAAGAGAAGCCTTACCAGAGTCGGTTGTCCAGCAGAGAGAGAGCCCCATTACCTAATATCCTGCAACTCTGATGAGCCTGTCGGTCGCCCAGACAGAATCACGATGAACCCTTGGAAGAATGGTTGACAGTTGGTGTGGGACTATACTTGCGTTTCAAATTTAGCCAACACCTATATTGACTTCAGTGCCACACTAGCAGGAGGTGCTGCCAATCACCGGGAAGCAGCCAAGTCACGTAAATACAGAGACCTTGAGCACCACAACAATTTTGTCCCCATTGCCTCAGAGACACTTGGTGCCTGGGGTAAAAGTGCTGCTAATTTTTTGAAGGAGTTGGGATCCAAGCTAACTGAAACAACTAGAGACCCTAGAGCTGCCAGTTTTCTCTCTTTCAACGCCGTAGTATGGCGATCCAGAGAGGAAAGGCTCACTGTATCCATGGATCCTGGCCGCCATCTGAGGAGCTGGAGGAGCTCTACAACGTGTGACAAGTAGCCTTGTATCCTTCATGTAACTAATGTTGTAACCCTTTTTGCGTAATGAAATTTTCAAATAAAGTTAGATATAGATATCTACACACATACCAAAAGTATAGGGGTGGTACGAGAAGAAAATATCAGTGTTCAGTGAGGATCCACAAGGTCTTCTCTGAGTACTTTTTATTTTCTTCTACGAGGGTACGGACTCCACCTGCCAAATAATCTTTGGCAGGTGGAGTCCGGATTTCTTGGCGTTCACAGTTTCGATCAGTTTGTTGACCTTTGCTTTTAATTCGGCTGTAGTGTCCTTCGTTACCCTTTGGAATTTAGTTTGGTCAGAGAGTATGAGGTTCATTTTCGCCAGATATTCGTCTTTTTTAAAAATGACGTATATTGGCGACTTGTCACCTCTCCTGACAACTATCTCCTTGTTCTCACGAAGGCTTTTAGCTGCCGCTTTGAGCTCGGGGGACAGTATGGTGCTTCTGTAATTGCCTCGATTCTTTCCTCCTTCCGCAATGAGTTCTGCTTGTAAGGTATCTTTGGTAGTGACCTTCTTTTGTGTCTCGAGGTCGAATATGTCGTCCAACAGAATTTCCAACTCCACTTTCCAAGAAATCCGGACTCCACCTGCCAAAGATTATTGGGGAATATAAACCTGGATATGCGTATGGAAATGTCAAGACACACAAGCCTGGAAACCCACTTCGGCCAATCATTAGCCAGATACCCACACCCACGTACAGACTGGCGAAGCGACTCAACGGCCTGCTGACTCCTTATGTCCCTTGCGCCTTCAACCTGAAGTCGCCAAAGGAATTTGTTGACTTACTGCGGGGCACACGGGCCACAGGGATAAGAGCCTCGTTGGACGTAGAATCACTGTTCACCAACGTACCTGTGGACGAGACAATCGGGATGATAGCCGACAGAGTGTATCGTGATCCAGCCTGTACTCCTCTTGACATACCAGAAAATATCCTAAGGAAACTACTCCAAGCTTGTACTAAAGAGGCACCCTTCTTGAGCCCAGATGGGCACATGTATAAGCAAGTAGATGGGGTCGCCATGGGTTCTCCCCTAGGTGTCCTGTTTGCAAACTTCTACATGGGTACCATCGAGCAAAAAGTCTTAGTCGACATGAACTTGAAACCGGCCATATACTACAGGTATGTTGACGACATTTTTACACAGGTACCTGATGTCAGACATCTGCAGGAGCTGAAGGAGGCATTTGAGCAGAGTTCCGTGCTGCGTTTCACTTACAAGATGGAAAAGGATGGGAAGCTGCCCTTTCTAGATGTAACAGTCATGGAAAAGAGCGGAGGTTTCCACACTGCAGTCTACACTAAGGAAACGAACATAGGAATGTGCCTAAATGCCAACAGCGACTGCCCAGACAGGTACAAGAGGAGTGTTGTTAACGCATATGTCGACCGTGCTCTCAGCCACAGCTCAGAATGGAAGCAAGTCGACGAAGAACTGTGTAGGGTAAGGCAGGTCCTAGTCAACAACGGCTTCTCCAATGGTTTCGTCGAAGACATCATATGAAGGAAAGTGAAACGCCATGCAACCTCTGAAGAGACAACTAACACAACACCTATACCCCTTATTAGACTATTTTACAGGAACTTCTTTTCCACAGCTCATAAAACGGAGGAAAGGGTCCTGAAAGATATTGTTAATAGAAACGTTATCCCTACAGACAAAAATCAGAGGATACAACTGACGATTTACTATAAAACCAGAAAAACGGCCAGCCTACTCATGAGAAACTCTCCAGACACAAAGCAGAACGCTTTGAAAGAGACCAACGTCGTCTATGCCTTCAAATGCCCACTTGGGGACTGTAAGCTCCAAAAAACCCAGTATATAGGCAAGACAACAACATCTCTTTCTAGGCGTTTAACGATGCATAAGCAACAGGGCTCCATTAAGGAACATATAATCTCTTCCCACAACCAAACCATCGCCAGAGAAATCCTAGTAAACAACACAGAAATCATCGATAGATACAGCGATAGCAGGCGGCTTGACGTTTGCGAGGCACTACACATTAAGAAGTCAACACCAGCAATCAACAGCCAATTAATGCACAACTATATTCTACCCACCTCAAGACTCCGCTCCAATATAGAAGCATCAAGAAATATGGACCAATAGGCTTTCTACAATCACTTCTATTCAATACCCATTGTTTCGTGTTCTGTCTAGTGTTGATGAATTTAATACCCTATTAAATACCACCTCACCCCATCCACCTCACTCAAATGTAGATATAAACAAATCGGAGATGTGTAAGTTCTATTCAGTTGTGTATGTGTAAACTAAAGTCTTTGAAAATGTAATAAGTTTTACGAAACGCGCTCAAGTGTCGCGTCAGACTAGAAATAAAAATGAATTTTGGAGAATTGATTTTTGAATTACCACCAACAGTAAAAAGAAATGTACGAAAGATAGAGAAAATTCGTGTTAGAATTATTAATCTTACTTTTTCGGT